CCGAGCGGAAGCAGGCCCGGGCGCGGATGCGAGGCCTCTGAGGGAGGTGCAGGCCCCCCGACGCGGGGATGGGGGAGGCATTGAATGAGGGGCCCTGAGGCAGATGCAGGTCTCTGACTCGGATGCGGGGGCCCCGCGGGGGATGCAGGTCCCTGACCAAGGACAGTGAGAGGGATGGAGGGGCTCTGGGAGGAGTAGGGGAGGTCTGTAGGAGGGTAGGGATAGTGATGGAATCCCATAGTTGGCTATGCAAAAGGGCTTGCTGGGGTCCAAGGAGTAGGATTGGGGAAAGGGGAGGGAATGGGGATGGAGGAATATCTGAGGATATTGGGGGGACGTGAAGATGCTGAGGCTGGGAGAGCCTTGTAGGGAAGAGGAGGGACTAAGAGGTTCCCCAGAGCTGTGGGAGGAGGGCGTGGGGTCAGAGGGGAGGGAGCTGGAAGCCGAGGATATTGGGGAAGGGGACCTGGGGCTGAGGAGGGCGTCCACCTGGGCTGGGGGTGTTGAGAGGTGACAGCCTGGTCTGACAAGGCTGATGAGCAGGTGGCAGGAGGAACGTGTCAGCTGCGAAGAGTGACCACAGTCTCCATCCACCTAGGGATCCCCTGTGCTGGACAGAGGCCTTAGCACCACACAGCAACCCCCCAACTTCACCACCACCCCGCAAGGCCCCAGTAAAGGCAGCATTGAACTGAAGGTGTGAGGGCCCAGGGCCCCATGGACATGATGAAATTCCCTCCAGGGCAGATCTTGACAGAACTAATAATCTAAACATTGCCTGGGAAAAGGACCTTCTCACTCGTGCAAACCTGGCTTTGGTGGGAAGTATTTTTTTCTTGGTAGCCGAAGTCTTTTAACTCAGAGTTTGAAAGCCATTTTTTTAATTGTTATTAAAATGCTAATAACAAGTGCAATGGTTCCTTAGTCCGAGCAGTGGTCAGCAAACTCATTAGTCAACAGAGCCAAATATCAACAGTACAACGATTGAAATTTCTTTTGAGAGCCAAATTTTTTCAACTTAAACTATATAGGTAGGTACATTGTTATTAACTTAATTAGGGTACTCCTAAGGCTTAGGAAGAGCCACACTCAAGGGGCCAAAGAGCCGCATGTGGCTCGGGAGCCGAGGTTTGCCGACCACGGCTAGTGTAAGCCTCAAAACAAAACAAAAACCAGAACAGCCTAGTTAAGTGCAGACTGACTGGTTGATCAACATAAAGTAGTAACTTGGTTTGTAGTAAATGCATTATTAAGTTCGTTACCGCCGAGGAAAGCAGCGTATCATTTTAAATACAAATCCCTGCCACCACATCAAAGCTGCCCCTTGTATTAAACAGCCCACTAATTCAGTTTCATTTGGTTTAGGAGTATTTCATCAATCAGCTGAAGATAGAAGGAGTGGAACACCTCCCGCGCCGGGTAACAAATGAAATCGCAAGCAATGGTCGCTATGAGGTTTACACACAAGGAGGTGTGATATTTGCAACAAGTCGAATTCTCGTGGTTGATTTTTTGACTGATAGAATACCTTCAGATTTAATTACTGGTAAGCATTTGAAATTTTATCATATGTAAATTTGCCTTTTTGGTGTGTGTGTCTGTCCCCTCTGCTAAACTACTCTAAGCTAGAACCTTCCTGTGAGTAGCATTGTATGTATTTTCTCAACATTGTCCTTTTAGCCATTAGCACAATATCTGACACACGATAGATGCTCAATAAATATTTGTGGCC